CATGGAGACCATAGCACGATATCTGGCGTTTCCACCACGCCTATAGCGATCTTAATGCGCTCTGAGGCCATTTTCCGTCGTCATAGCACCACAGAAAGGATGCCACCCTGGTCTGACGGGATTATTGGAGACTGAGCTCGGACGATTTTATTTCTGGTCGGTAGAAATGACCAGACGACTAGAATTCATAAGCAACGCTGCATGTCTGTTGAAATTATGTTTTAAGACATCTAATACAGGCCCGGTCTTTTAAAGACGACAACGCCGAAAAAATTGAATATGCCAGAGTCTGACCCCGGGATTAACGAGATACTGTTTGTATAGAATCAATTCTGGTTATAGAAACGTGGCCCGAGGCATTGACCATCTGTGTACATATTGGCAAACACGTAAAAGAACCATTGAAATTCGATGAAGAATATGCGAATACCAATCTGATTAAAACACAGATCATATTTCGTTTCGTTTTTTATAGTTGGAAATTTCGTTTTACTTGTGTTTACTACACTGGTATCTGAAAGGGTTGTTATATAACCTGATTGAAGTGAGGGATTAGCCAATGAAACAGTTTGTTGCGGCGAGTTCTTGCCGTACGAGCATGGACCTGTTTATCCCACTAGAAACATCAACGCTGATTGGTTAATCAAATCTCTGATGTCATAGTGTCAAAATCCGTTTGTATGAACCCTGACGCGACCTCCCACCACAACTAGTCAGATCGTCATGTATAACACTACAGGGTTATTTTAGGTCTAAGAAAAGTGTTCTGTTTAATATAGAAATCTTTACCTACATGATGTGTGACGAAAACTAGGGTAATGAAGTAGCTTGCAGTAATCTGCTACTATCTTAGTCTAACTCACAGACACTTATGTCAGTATCCATTTCTGGAAAGTAGGGTACTATCGTCCAGTCATCTCGTGCACGGATTAGTCCAATTAAATAGAATAATGTTGACGTTAAAAGGTGCCTATATGAAACACTTACCCAAAAATGGTAATTGTCCCGCCCTAATAGATGACGCATTACATTTTCTGTATAGGAAAGAGCGGGTTTGATTTACCCTCGGACAATCTTTTCGAGCTCGGGAGATCACCATACCTATAGCCTCCTCGGCTTAGAGGCTAGGGTGAACACATGTAGAACAATCAAGAAGTGTGTGGGTCTTGCCACGTTTAAACTGTTAGGTTTGAGTTCGAAAGGATATTAAACTCAGACCGTGGATATTTTAAAAACTCGAAAAGTACTATCATAACTTTGTAGTCTGCTGTATTTGTTTAATTATATAAACTTAGTAACAACATAAACGGTGTTCCAGAGTCAGTTAATTGATGATTGAAAAAATTGATCCCACAGCGTGAAGTCGAAGCAGGTCCTAGACCATAATGTCACAGCTACCCCAAAGTATCACACATATGTACCCCGTAGTGCCACACATGCAGTGGACGCCATCGAAGGTATAAAAAAAGAAACGAAATATAGATCTGTATTTTAATCAGTTTGTGCGGATACTCCACAGGACAAAATTCACCTCCCTATAGGTGCACACATAATAGAATAAAAACCATCTGTTAATCCCATCTCTTCTCATACAGGATCTGACAAGGTTGAGTGATTGTTGGAGAGCTGAAGTATATACGTTATTATATCTTGTATTACAGGATCTGACAAGGTTGAGTGATTGTTGGAGAGCTGAAGTATATACGTTACTATATCTTGTATTACAGGATCTGACAAGGTTGAGTGATTGTTGGAGAGCTGAAGTATATACGTTATTATATAAAAGAGAAGGAAGAGTATTAAGTCGAGTAGGACATGTTAATTATACACACCATGTTAATCTATATCCTGGTGTTATTATATTTCCTAATACAAATTTTGGTTTTAATCAAAGAGTTTTTAAGACGTCTACAAATCAGGTAAGTATCATTTGATTGATATTATATAGAGCTTGCATTTATTAAAGTGGCAGCTATTGTAAATATATTATTATTAATTACAGTTGCAGCTATTATAGATATATTAATAATTACAGTGACAGCTATTATAGATATATTAATAATTACAGTGACAGCTATTATAGATATATTATTAATAACAGTGACAGCTATTATAGATATATTATTAATTACAGTGACATCTATTATAGATATATTATTAATAACAGTGACAGCTATTATAGATATATTATTAATTACAGTGACAACTATTATAGATATATTATTAATTACAGTGGTAGATATTATAGATATATTATTAATTACAGTTGCAGCTATTATAGATATATTAATAATTACAGTGACAGCTATTATAGATATATTAATAATTACAGTGACAGCTATTATAGATATATTAATAATTACAGTGACAGCTATTATAGATATATTATTAATTACAGTGGCAGATGTTTTCACGGCGATTACCATCTGTCAATGGAAGTTTACAGTACTATGGTTATGCCTATGATATATTACATGTTCTTCAAACAGCTTTAAATTTTAGGTAAATAAACAGTATTTTGTATTTTATTTTATAACTTGAGGACTTTGTCTTTAAATTTTAGGTAAATAAACAGTATTTTACATGTTATTTTATAACTTGAGGACTTGAAAACTAAAATAGAGACAAGGGCTTGCCGTATCTCTAGTATTATAGTATTTGTCATTATACTTGATTACAATACTGAATCCAGTTTGTCTTTTATTTCTGTAAACTCACACTCACGCCGATTCCCGGAATATATCGCCTGTATATTAACTCATTTGATTTATGTCCAATATAACTTTTAGTTAAACATACATTATTTAAGAGTTAAGTGTGCACATTGCAAGTCTTTCTTTAGGACTAAAATGTTATCTCAATTATTAATTAGAGATTAATTAGCTTATCCAGACCATAATCAACTCTCGGTGCCGTCGCTAGCCTGCGTTATTTAGCGGATTGGAATACATTTTTTGAAAAATGGATAATCGAAACTTTGGTAATGATGATCGAGGCTATCCTAAAATTCAAAACTTAACATTTCGCTTCAGAGAGAGAGAGAGAGAAATGGGGTTTAACGTCCACTCGACACAAACTAGGTCATTTCGGGACTAACGTATGGTTTAATTTTATTTCAATAATTCGCTTGCGCGTAGGGGTCTTTAGCAGTGGGAGGAAACCGGAGGACCCGGAGAAAACCCACGAGGTTGGACAGGCGACCCTACTCCTTGTCACGTACAACCGGGGATTCGAAACCACACCAGTCGACTCAATGACAGACTTTATGATACAGCGCGCGCACGCTAACCATTCAGCCATCCAACCCCCCATTTCGCTTCAGTGTGGAGCAATTTGACTGAAATTTCAGCATGTTCTATTTACGTTATCTATGTTTTAACTATTGTAGTGAGAACTGTCAACTCTTTATCTAATGTCACATAATGCCCATTTAAATATCTCCTCGTTTCTAATTTATACCAGTGTACAGATTATGGTCATTTTTTAAAAACAATATATTCATATTTATGCAAATGATTTCTTACGGTTGGTGAATTTATATAAACTCCGACTTGTTTTCAAATCCAATAATTATATATGGTATCTTTATAATATGTAGGGGGTCACGGTGGCTAAGTGGGTAAGACGCTGGGTGTTCGATCCCAGATTTTCCGGCGTGGTTCCCCCTTGTCAGTGATGCAGTACGGAGGGCCTGACAAGGATAGCTGTCTAGTCATTCGGTTGAGACGAAAACCCGAGGCCCCGTGTACATATTGGCGTGCACGTAAAAGAACCCGTGACAGTTGGAATTCGATATAAGAGTAGGCCGTAGTGCCGCTTTCCGGGCAAAATGTCCCTCATAACACACTGTATGGCATATGCCCGTCTTCATTAGCCCAGTTCGGAGCAAAACAGTAGGTCGTTAAACTCCATTTCATTTCATTTATAATATTTACATATTATGTATCAACAAATAGTGTTAAAGAAAATATATATATATATATATATATATATATATATATATATATATATATATATATATATATATATATATATATATAAACTGAACATTAGAACAACGACTTACTACTGCTATATATATATATATATACAACTGGCGGTAGTTTTTTCTTTGATGTCCATAGCAGGTATATCTCATAACAACATGTCATGACGTCATCACATGTTGATATATTCGTTCATATCAACCGCTGATGACGTCATCACAGTAATGACGTCATCTTAGGTCGATATATTCGGCTCATATCAACCGCTGATGACGAAGATGATCGAAATAATACAAAAAACACAGAAATAAACTTTTATTCTTTTGACAATTAAAAATTGCTATGGTACAGTTTGTAGCATTCAGGGCAGAAATAGACGGCGTACTTATCGGCATATTTAAATCGGTTATTCATACTCCATGTCTATGATATCTTTCAGAATTTTCTTTCCGTCCACACACTCCTAGACTTGAAGTATTTATCGCTCAAGAGTTCCTTTATAAAGTATTTTTGGGTACAGTCCACTTAAAACAGTCGGTCAAATCCTTCTCTGAACTGACCGAATACCACCGAAAACCTTCAATCTGGGTTCACTGTCAGAATTATCCGAAAAGAATGCCTTTTGATCCAAATTTTCTTCAGGCTTTGGATAGATCCTCATCGATATTTGCATTCACATCTATTCCATCGTCAATATGTTGGCTAAACAGGATTGATTATTCGTTTGACTTCGTATTACTATACATTTTGTTTTTGCGTTCAATTCAATACTCCAAAATGGCGACATATAAACAAAAACATGCACGTAATTGCACGTGATTATTTCGGTAATTTTCGCTATTTGGCGGAAACTATCGAGCAATTATCCAATCATTGTTGCCTTTTAATGGAAGAGCCCATTAAATTTAAGGGTGAAATGGCGTTGTATATGTCAGATATAAACCTACTCCATCTCGGATTGATATGATAGAGAACACTTGGGCTTCGCCCGCGTGTTCTCAATCGTATCAAACTCGGATAGGTTAATATCCTATACATAGCAGTAGTAGTATAGCTTGTCCGACTTTCCTGAGACTGAAATTTCGGAGCATAGTATAAGTTAGGAACGAAACAAAATACAAATTAATTATTTATAAATAAGTCGAGGATTGTTTTTGTTGTAAATAAGTAGACAATGGGGTAGAGTTAATTGGTTGTTGTTTGGTTGTGTTCTATGACAAGTGTTGTTCTCGGTGAACTAGAATGAGGAATAGTTAATTGTTTCCGTTTGATTGTGTTCTATGATAAATGTCGTTCTCTGTTAACCAAAAGATGGAGAATGGGCTAGAGTTAATTGTTTATATTTGCATTGTTTTCTATGACCAGTGTCGAGCTCTGCGAACCAGAAGATGGAGAATGGGGAAGAATTAATAATGATAGCTGGACTGGTGTAGTTGGTCAACTTGTTAGACGGGTAATATGTCTACTTATTCTCTCTAGAAAACCTGATACTACTCCCCACAATTTACTTTGTTGGCATTTTGGAAGTTCTATTTTCGAAGTTCAAATAAAAACATTTTTGTATTGAGGCTATTTTTTATCAGTAGATGAACGGATAAAGACAGTTCTTGTTTAAAGAATGTCCAAAATAGCTGTTAAAACTCTCATATCATTATTAGGTCCCGTTTTCGATGTTTATTTGATTGATGTCCGCTCTCATCAGCCTCTTCCTCGCATTCTAACCATTATCAATGGTTGTGTAGAGCTAGAAGAATCTATTACGTATCTACCTCGCCTTCGCTTGATTAAATATACGGATTCACTGGATTTCCAGGATTTCCTTCCCAACTACCCTATTTTGCAAGCGGAACGACTAAACCGATTAACAGTCCACAATTAGCTCAACGACTATGATTTCATGAATTGAAAATATCGCAATATATTCTAAATGGCAATCTGATTACAATACAGGTCTATATTTCGTTTGGGTTTTTTATACTTTCGATAGCCCACACTACATGAAGATCCGACAGGTTGTACTGGAAGGTCGCGACATGGGTCGTACGAGCGGCGTTTGACCCTATGACTTCAGACATTTATTAATCAATCAGCGTTGAACTATAAAAAGACGAAACGAATTCGGATCTGTATTTTATAGAAGATATAAAACCAACCAACGTCTGTCTATTGCAGGAAGTTGAGTTAGTAGTCGGTCCACTCTCCATTTCAATGGAACGCCTCCAGGTGATCGACTTCATCTCGCCGTTCTACTACACATACAATACTGTTGTGTTCCGCTTACCAGATCCGAATCGCAATAAATGGTTGAAATTGGTGGAGCCGTTTAAAATTGAGGTTCATATTTGTCTTGCGGCTACCTTCTGTGTTATATCTGTATTCCTGTATACCATCGAACAGTTTAATCCGTTCTATTTACGATCTAGGAAAGTCAGACCGACTCTACAGGGTACAATGCTCTACTTATTTGGCGCCATGCTGGCTCAAGGTCAGTTAGTATTTGAGGCATGAAATATTAATATTTTGAAAGAAATTATTCATTATGAAAATGAAATGAAATGAAATGGGGTTTAACGTCCTACTGTTCTGCTCCTATATGCTGGGCCAATGAAGACGGGCATAAGCCATACAGTGTGCTATGAGGGATAATTTTGCCCGGGCAGCGGCACTATCGCCTACTCTTATATCGAATTCCAACTGCCAAGGGATCTTTTACGTGCATTCCAATGTATACACGGGACCTCGGTTTTTCGTCTCATCCGAAAGACTAGACAGCTTTCCTTGTCAGGCCCTCCGTCCTGCATCACTGCCAAGGGGGAACCACGCCGGAAAATCTGGATGAACTTTCTCGGCCAATGCAGGGATCGAACACCCGACCTCCAGGCTAGCGAGCCAGCGTCTTACCCACTTAGCCACGTGATCCCCTTTATTCATTATGAAGAAAATGTTAATTATGAAGTTTTACAGAGAAAATACCAATTCCATTTAGCTAGCACTTGCACCCACTACGGGATCATCCATTTAGCTAGCACTTGCACCCACTACGGGATCATCAAACATTTGCTGGGTGGCCGAATGGTTAACACCTGGGTCCTCTGCCCCCCCCCCCCTGACTTCTAAAGACCCATATGCGCAAGCGAATTATTGAAATACAGTTGAACCTTATGTTAGTCGTGAAATACCATAGTTTGTGTCGATTGGACGTTAAACCCCATTTATATCTATCTATCTATCTATTAGACATTATGGGAGATTAGATAAAGGGCTGGCAGTTCTCACTATAATAGTTAAAAAATAGATAATGTAAAGGCAATTTGCTGAGAATTAAGCGATTGAATTTTCGGCCTAGCCTCGATCATCGTTACTAAAGTCGATACAATAAAAACCAGAGTCTCGATTATTCATTTCATGATTAAATCATGAATGAGAGTTGAGCACCAAATCGAATACTAATCCAGTAAATATTGCAGGCTAGCGATGACATGGTGAGTTGATTATGGCCTGGATGAGTTAATTAATGTCTATTCAATAATTTAGGTAAAATTTCAGGCCTAAAGAAAGACCTGCAATAGGCAGATTTACCTCTTGTATAATGTATGTTTAAAGTGTTATTAAAGTTATCTCGACCATCCAGGCAGTTGGTCATATTAACATTGGTTGTAAACTGGACGGACTAGTTTTAATATTTTTTTGTGATTGAGTCTTTTTGGTTTTATTAGGTGGACCAAGTTTATCAGCATCTGTGTCTGGACGATCTTTAATAGCCTGTTGGTGGATTTTTTGCTTGATATCCGTGGCTACATACAGCGGTAACCTCATCGCATCCCTTACTGTAAATGAAAAGGATTTACCGTTTGACACCCTGAAACAAATGGTATCCCAAGATGAATATAAATGGGGAACAGTTGGTGGATCTAGTTATATCACACTATTGTCAGTAAGTTACACTGGGTGTATATTACACTATTGTCAGTAAGTTACATATGATGTATATAACACTATTGTCAGTAAGTTACACATGGTGTATATTACACTATTGTCAGTAAGTTACACACGGTATATATTACACTATTGTCAGTAAGTTACACATGGTTTATATCACACTATTGTCAGTAAGTTATACTGGGTGTATATTACACTATTGTCAGTAAGGTATACTGGGTGTATATTACACTATTGTCGGTAAGTTACACGGAGTTTATATTACACTATTGTCAGAAAGTTACACTGGGTGTATATTGTGACAGTATTGGTTCTTTAATCAGGTTCGGATGACAAGACTAGTTTCAGCTTCTATTAATACTTTTATTCTGCTTCTAACATATTATGTACAAACATCGTAATGTTAAAGACACCCAGGACTAAATTACATTAGTTGGCCGTTGTCTGGTCTTAACTCCATGACCTGCGTGGCTTGGAGTTAACTACCAGACGTCGCCTAGCCTCCGCCTGCTCTCCTGTCCTGCCTGGACCTCTCTGTGTATTTGTTTCTTAATCTGGGTTTATAAACCTTTCCACACACAAAGGAATCTCATTAGGCATCTGCTATAATGTATCATGTTTCATATCAGTTAACGTTCAGTATAGTTTATCAGACAAAGAAGTAAGATAAGACATGCCATCAACAAGTTAAAGTTACATAAGTTACATAATGCTACCAAGATCTACAGGGGTCGGCAGGTAGATTTGATATTCAAATTACTTTCACATGTCAAGATGGCAGGGGGCATAACATGTCATTTTGTAACATACCTTCCCTTTTTTCAATAAAGTTATGAATTATATGAAATAACTTATTTTAAGACAGTTACAAACTTAAATATAAATGGAGTCGAGAATAACTACCCTAATTAAAATATAAACAAAAATACGAAAAATTACAATATACTGATTAAAAGTTAAATAAACAAAAATAAAAATTTAAATGGCAAAGAATAAAAAACTGGTTGAAAATATACTAGAATGTTCATACATTATGTCGCAGATAATTTTAATGTTCACACACACGAGTTCTTGGAATCGCATATAACGCACACTATTCTGTTTTGCACACACGCGAGTTACTGAAATCACATCTATATAAATTATTTTCATAACACACGCGAATATATAATATATATCATTATAATGGTCACACGCGCAATGTAGAAATTATATCCATTTTCTTCTTCCGTACATCGTCGTTGTGGTCAACTGTAGGGAGATACAAATTCATTTTTTTCTTCTTCCTTTATTCCGTCGTCTTCTTCTTGTATAAGTTTTCCGTAATAGCAAGGGGTCAGTGTTTTCCGTTAGTCTTATCTCTTCCATACCACCTGGCCGGAACGGTGCGTTATGACATGTGCTATGAAGAGTATTATAATTGTCGCCCGTGCCCAAGTTTTATCATCTGTTTATCATATCATGGAGTGAACTTAATTAATAGTTAATCAAATTAGCAAGTGGAACAGACTTAAATTAGCTATCTAACGATATTTACATTATTATTTATATGGATAGAATTGAAATTAGGATGCCATATTGTTTTATCTCAAGATAAAGAATAATGAATGATCTGAACACATTTTACCAATCTTCAATAAGATATTTTGAAAGAAGTTATCAAAATTAATAACGGTTTATCTCTATAATTTTTTAAACACAACACAAAACAAGACAATACGTTCGCTCCTAATTCTGAGCACGACCCTCTCCTGGGGTTAAACCAATCCCACCTGACTGGGGTTTCACATAAACCTTTTCCCGTAACATATCGGGACCTCCCAATCTATATTATTGGGGTATCACAAAATAAAAATAATAAAAAAAATCTCTCCTGTACATATCGGGTCATCCCATTAACATTTGGGGTACTACGTTAAACACGAATAAAATCTTTCCCGTAAATATCGGGCCATCCCATTAACACTTGGGGTAATATACACGTATAGACAAAACAAATAAAAAACCTTAGAGATAAACGCGGTAATACTGTGTGAATGTTATTGGGTTAAATTTCAAATTACGATACTGTTAACCCAATTCGAGTTAAACAATCATAAAACATTTTACTTTTCGATATTAACCTATTAATACTAATTTTAAATGCCAAAATATGTGTTCAAAACAAACAATTATAATTTATAATCTTTTAAAAACAACATGACCCATTGTAAAACAAACAATATATATACAATTTTGTTTTAGTCATTTTCCTACAAATAGTTAAGGACTGTTCCACTACTAGCTTGAACGTTATATTAAATTAAGTAACTACACCATGATATTTAATAAAGCGTGATGATAAACTGCTGATTTCCCAGTTAAATTATAATACATTATAGCACAATGTCATTATTAACCGGCCATGGTAGGATTAGAAAAAGACTTACCCGTGTAGACTAATATCTGTGGCCTGTGGTCTTCTAGTGGTGGACTTCAAACGTTGCTCTGGTCAGCGGCGCCAATTAATATGTGACAGTATTGGTTCTTTAATCAGGTTCGGATGACAAGACTAGTTTCAGCTTCTATTAATACTTTTATTCTGCTTCTAACATATTATGTACAAACATCGTAATGTTAAAGACACCCAGGACTAAATTACATTAGTTGGCCGTTGTCTGGTCTTAACTCCATGACCTGCGTGGCTTGTAGTTAACTACCAGACGTCGCCTAGCCTCCGCCTGCTCTCCTGTCCTGCCTGGACCTCTCTGCCTATTTGTTTCTTAATCTGGGTTTATAAACCTTTCCACACACAAAGGAATCTCATTAGGCATCTGCTATAATGTATCATGTTTCATATCAGTTAACGTTCAGTATAGTTTATCAGACAAAGAAGTAAGATAAGACATGCCATCAACAAGTTAAAGTTACATAAGTTACATAATGCTACCAAGATCTACAGGGGTCGGCAGGTAGATTTGATATTCAAATTACTTTCACATGTCAAGATGGCAGGGGGCATAACATGTCATTTTGTAACAATATTACACTATTGTCAGTAAGTTACACAAGGTGTATATTACACTATTGTCAGCAACTTACACAAGATACCGAAATCAAATATGTAACAGGAACAACAATAATTTTGATATACGTTTTTATGTCAAAGCACTTAAACAATAGTCTACATTACAATACTAAAACCTTAACATCTCTTTCTCTCCACGCGACTCCTGTGGCTCTCAGAATCAAATGGTCGTCTCAGAATCAAATTATTATCTAGTGTCTGATCATATGAGCGCTGGTTTTGCTCTTTTAAAGGTGCCAACACCCCTAATTGCTTACGTCATAGACTGATAACAGCTAAATTCCAAATATGGAATAGATATGGTTTAAACAGTATTTATTTCAAGAGAGAGAGAGAGAGAAATGGGGTTTAACGTCCACTCGACACAAACTAGGTCATTTCGGGACTAACATATGGTTCAATTTTATTTACATAATTCGCTTGCGCGTAGGGTCTTTAGCAGTGGGAGGAAACCGGAGGACCCGGAGAAAACCCACGAGGTTGGACAGGCGACCCTACTCCTTGCCACGTACAACCGGGGATTCGAAACCACGCCAGTCGACTCAATGACAGACTTTGGGATACAGCGCGCGCACGCTAACCATTCAGCCATCCAACCCCCCCTATTTATTTCAAGAATATTATAAACTATAAAGACATAAAGAATAGGATACAAAACAAGCCAAGTAGACTTATATTAATTTGCTTCCTTCTGGTTTGGGTGTATAATATATGTACAATTTTAAATAATATATGATACAGACAAAAACTAATTACATTATTTTAGTTGTCGTACAAATAAGTAGATAAGTAATTTTGTCCGGGAAAAATTTCCCTCGTAGCACGTTTAGTCCAATGCGTGTTAGAGAGGGGGCAAAAATAATATGCCCGAATAAAATTCCCGGTCATGGTCGTAGGGGGCGGAGTTTACCGTGTAGGGCCTCCCCAAGATAATTTGCACAATAGCGCCATACACGTGGGAGGGGTTCATTGTCAAATTTGACACTTCAAGGAAGGGTTGATGAAAACTGCCGCGTGCTGGTTTATCGAGCAATGTTTGCTTTCCTATCGGTTCTTACATAAGATTTACTGTTTAGCGTATCTTTGCTTTAGTGTTTTACGTTTAATTTGATCGGGAGACGTGTTCGTCGACGTCAACCACAACCGACAACACTGCAAGAATTGGCCGTGGCACTGCAGGAGGAGTGGGTCAGATTGCCCCAAATCGTGATTGGACGGTTGATTAGGAGCATGCCACGAGGAATTGTTGAATGTCTGAGGATTGGTGGAGCAATTACTCATCATTAAGACAAAAATCAAAAACGTCCATTTTCACTTCTTACGGTGTATCTCTTTACGAGTGAAATGAGCCGTCAGATAAGCCGCCCATATGAACTGCTAATGTTCATGTGTAGGCAATTGGCCTGTTATTAACATACACTGGTTACCTATAATAAAAACAGCAGTGCATTTCCACAGTTTTGTATTGTTTCTGAATATCCCCTACTTTTTTTGAAGAGAATATATATATTTATTTTTTAGAATTCAAATTTATCTGACTTCAAGAGAATGTGGCAAGGAATAGTTGAGTTTAACAGAACAGATCCGCAGGTTTTGAGTCCAGATTCGGATGTACACAAACATAAAGTAATGACGGAAGATTATGGTTTTATTGCTGATGTACCTGCCGCACACATGTGGATGATGGAATCTTGTCAATTCACAATGTTAAAAGAAAAGTTTGTTCCTCAGAACTATGCATATGCTGTTCAGAAAGGTTCACCGTATGCAAAATATTTTTCCGAAGAGTACGTGTAACTATTTTGTTTTCGTGACAAGGAGGAGGGTCGCCTGTCCAACCTCGTGGGTTTTCTCCGGGTTCTACTACGCGCAAACGAATTATTGAAATAAAATTAAACCATATGTTAGTGCCCGAAATGACCTAGTTTGTGTCGAGTGGACGTTAAATCCCTCCTCTCTCTCTCTCTCTCTCTCTCTCTCTCTCTCTCTCTCTCCTTTCTCTCTCTCTGATTGATGTAATGTGTTGACTAAACCTAGATATAATATATTAATCATTACTTACATCCACTACCAAAATGAGGACGCATTACAATTATTTTTTTATAACGAATCACGAGTTCCCCTAGTACTATTGACAGTCTATAGTCTTTCTTACAAATTGCAGTAACGTGCTGCTCAGTTGCGATTTCGCAGAGAGAATGTGAAATGAAATGAAATGAAATTAGGTTTAACGTCCTACTGTTCTGCTCCTATACTGAGCTAATGAAGACGAACAAACGCCATACAGTGTGCTATAAGGGAAATTTTGCCCGGACAGTGGCACTACGGCCTACTCTTATATCGAATTCCAACTGTCAAGGGATCTTTTACGTGCACGCCAATGTGTACACGGGACTTCGGTTTTTCGCCCCATCCGAACGACTAGACAGCTGCCCTTGTCAGGCCCTCGGTCAGAGAGACTACACACCCGGATATCCTATAAGACTATAAAAATCTCTTTTCAGAACCATGAAAATATTGGAAAGTGGACTGGCGTTGATTTTACAGCGTAATTGGTGGCCTGATCCCGGAACGTGTCAGGAGAAATCAGCTTCATCTAAAGTTATAGAATTACTGGACATACAGAGTGCTTTCTATGTTGTATTGATCGGTGTTGTCGTGGCTACCGTTACGATGCTCATAGAGAGCTGTTTCGTTAAAAATGGCCCCGTTATTAAGTGTCGGTTGCCTTGTTTTGGAAGAATTTCCCCAGAAAATTAAATATTGTATTTTATCTATTCTTACTACCAATGACAAGCAAGTCTGAAATGTGTTGGATTCTTTCTGCAATTGTTAAAAATGGCCCCATCATTGGTTGCCTGGGTTTAGAAGAATATTCCCACAGAAATTAAATTGCATTTGTAAATTAAAAAAAATACAATGTGCTAGTCTCAAATGTTGTGTTGAAACGCTTTATACCATTTTTGACATTGATGGAGTACGTACCCCCTCCGTATCCTGAATTGACAATGTTAGACATTGGCAGTGGTGGCGTTGCCCCTACCAGACCCCCCCCCCCCCCCCACCACACCCCCACCCTCTTCCAACCATCCCCAAAAGTAAGCTCGATCAGAAGCGACCCCATTGAAATTCACTGAAAAATCCTCACCATCACGAACTAATGGGATACCCCGCCAGATGTCCCCACCTCCATCAAAACTATTAAAGCTAACTAGATCAGCTCTGATGCGAATCAATTAAAACCCATTGGTTTAGTATCACCCCTGGTAGTATGGATGGACAATGTCCGCCATCTTCGTTGGTGAGGTACGCCTGTCATAAGTCCCCAAAAGTCAAACTGCATGTGTTTACGGTGGTGTTTTCCAGCATCTCAGTTGAGGAGGCTGTTGGAACGTCCTTCTTGGAATTTGAAATACTGCTTAATTTAAACTTAAACCCTGTACTTCTTTATACAGAGGATACGTGCATGAGGCATGTGCTGACCCCCGGGAAAGTGGCCAGGCACACCTTTATCTGACTGGTCAACTGCTCAGAGGCTACCCTGGATTTCAACACAGTGTACTTATATGGGCACCCTGGGGGACGGTTGTCCACGTGTCTAAAACATCAGTTTACAATAGTTGGATTACCAGACTATGATGTCGTCCGATTTTAATCTACCAGACATATCATTGTTAGCCCAGTTCTCGTTGTCACTGGGTCTAGCCAAAGACTTAAATAATCTCTACAGTATATAGGCCATATAGTATTACATAAAGACCTCTACAACAACAGGTAGGAAAATGAAGGGATCAAATATTATTTGAGGGTAAGACAAGTACTATAAGATGGGGTATTTAGTTCTCAAAGTGGTCGGGCGGAAGGGCGGGCAGGGTGTCGACTATATAAGTAAAAATGAGTGTGAATCAATTACTATCAGACTGTGTATTTAGTTATCGCAGAATGGACGGGTTGGAATGATAATCAGCTGTGTGTATGTGTGAAATGCATCTTTATTTAACGCCTGCTGTGATATCATAGACTATAAAAGCAAAATAATAATAATAATAACCAATTTATAAAGCGCCTCTCATCTAGAACTGTTCAAATCGATGAGCAGCACTGTCACGTTTGGTATTCGCAATTAAATAAGTGATGATTTAAAGGACTCAGATGTTCTGGTTTCCTTTATTGTTGTTGGGAGTTTATTCCATTGGATAGGTTCTGCAACTGAAAAAGCCCTATCACGACAGGATACTTTCAAAGTTTTTGGAACGACTAGGTTGTGTTTTGTTGTTGGCCGAGTTGTCCTTTCTCCACTTTTGATCTGCAGATGATCACTCAGGTGGTCAGGAGTTAAACCATGGATGCACTTGTAATGAATACGTCTGTTTATGGGCATACAGTGAAGGGACTTGAGAACAGATGTTATGTGGTCTTGGGGTTTTGTTCTTGTGATTAGGCGTGCAGCAGTGTTTTGTATCTTTTGTAGTGAGCGAAGAGAAGAAGCTGGAATTCCGTAAAGTAACAAATGCCAATAGTTCAATCTAGATGTGATTAAAGAGTTCACTAACAGTTTACTTGAATCTGCATTTAAGTATTTTCGTAGACGACCCATGTTGAACAGCTGAAAGTTACATGCCTCCGATACTGCTGCAACTTGTTTTGACATATCCATAGTAGTCTTGAAAATAACACCCAAATTTCTGGCAGATTGAGCGGAGTTAAATTGATGACTTCCAACATGAATGAAATGTCAACCTAATGATGAAACCGTTATTTTGAACCAATGGTCATGTACTCTGTTTTGTCCGAGTTCAGTGTAAGAACGTTTTCAGTCATCCATATTCTAATGTTCTCAATGCAACGCTCCAGTTGATATTGTTTGTCTGGAATATCACATGGTGGTCCTATTGTCGTCTTCATAAAGATGGTAGTCTACACAGTGTTTGCAGATGATTTCACCCAGGGGAGGGGTATAGTTAGTGCATAGAATTGGTCCCAAGACAGATCCTTGGGGAACACCAAATTGGGTTGCATTTGATTTAGCATTGTCCACGTACAATTTGATTACTGAGAATAGGTTTATAGCATGCACAATAACAAATGGATCAGTAGCCAGAGAAACGTCGATGTCATTTCCTATTTCCTACTTCTGCAAAAGGAGTTCCTTAATGTGATTTCATTTCCATTCTTTTGAAAGAGACTTTCGATGACAATAGTTAAACTAGCAGCCACTAATCCGATTACAATTACATAGAAAGCACTTTGAATATCTACTAATTCTATGGTTTGAGCCTGTGTCGAAGATTCAGCACACGCTCCAGGATCTGGCCACCATTTTCTTTGTAATATATCGACAACTCCACTCTCCATTAATTTCATAATTCTGAAACGATAGTAAAATTAATAAATTAATTATGTCCCCTTTTCCGGCTCTAACCTTTTCCCAGTGGGTTGGCCGCTTTTCACTACACACGGTGTAACAGATGGCCATGCTTTTGCTTCAGATTTTGTATGAGATTGACTAGTAAAGTTTTCCGATACACAAAAAGGTGAAAAAGAATACCACAAAAAACATGTATCTATCCGCTATACATATCACCGTAACCAACTCCGTTATCCGTCCGCCACTAAATCATGAATATTTACCAAAAACTGGCAAAACATATTAATTCAATAACTCTTCTTTGATTCGAACCAAAAACTCAACAAAAGATAGATATGCGAAAGGGGTGATAAACTTTAAATTCAGATGGTGAAATGTTATGAGAGACGGAGAGAGAGAGAGAGAGAAATGGGGTTTAACGTCCACTCGACACAAACTAGGTCATTTCTGGACTAACATATGGTTTAATTTTATTTCAATAATTCGCTTGCGCGTAGGGGTCTTAAGCACTGGGAGGAAACCGGAGGACCCGGAGAAAACCCGCGAGGTTGGACAGGCGACCCTACTCCTTGTAAATCAAAACCAAGCCAGTTGACTCAATGACAGACCTTGTGATACAGCGCACTTGTACTAACCATTCGGCCACCCACCCCTCCTGAAATATAATGGTGATCACCTTCCATATGAATGTAATTAAACACATGTTAGTCTCAAAATAAACTTAAACCCGGAGCCACGGTGGCTAGGTGGTTAAAATGCTGGCTCGCTAGCCTGGAGGTCACGTGTTCGATCCCTGCATTGGCCGAGAAAGTTCATCAGGATTTTCCGACGTGGTTTCCCCTTGTCAGTGATGCAGAACGGAGGGCCTGACAAGGACAGCTGTCTAGTCCTTCGGATGAGACGTAAAACCGAGGTCCCGTGTATACATTGGAATCCACTTAAAAGATCCCTCGGCAGTTGGAATTCGATATAACAGTAGGCGATAGTGCCGCTGTCCGGGCAAAATTTCCCTTATAGCACACCGTATGGTCATTAGACCAGTATAAGAGCAGAACAGTAGGACGTTAAACCCCATTCCATTTAATTTTCTTAAACTTAAACCCGATTATATTTGATTATTTTATGTGTATATAGCTACTTACTCGTCGTTAAATATCTGAAGGTATGGTGAGTTATTCTGTAGAGCGAAGGCGTATCCCATGGGGTAAAATAACTCTTTTAATGTGGTCAGCTCACACGATTCAATGGACCAAGATTGCGCTGTGGCCAGGTCACCTATAAATCCATAATTCTCAGTTGCAACTTTATGACGATGTAGATCTTGGTCGCCGTCTATAACATCGGGATCCGTTGCGTTAAATTTAACTATTCCCTGCCATAATCGTTTATAATCGGACAAGTTAGAGTCCTAAAAGAAGAAAAGGAGGGAGTTATTCAACTTAGGGCGCCAGACAAAACACATAGTCCATTATCCAATCTGATTACACTACAGATCTATATGTGTGTGTTACTTGTATTTTACGTCCGCTTTCACCGAGGTAATATCGCAGACAAAGATCTATATTTCGTTTCGCCTTTTTATACTTTCGATGGCTATGAAGATCTGGCCTATGACGTCAGACATTTGATTAACCAATCAGGGTTGATGTTTTTAGTGGGTTACCCACAGTATCATGTACCACACGCTAAAAACTCGCCGTAACAGACCATTTCATTGGCTATTCCCTAACATCCTCCAGAACGCGGGTTATATAACAACTCTTCCAGATCCTAGTGTAGTAAAGACAAGTAAAACGAAATTTTGAACTATAAAAAACGAAACGAAATAGGATATATGTTTTAACCAGATTGTCCATTATTAGACAGAATTATAGAGGTTTATTTAAATTGTTGCGTAGACACGCTCATCAAGACATAGCACCAACAGTCCATTATAATCAACATCTACTGTTATATATTTGGACCCGGGACCTGCCCCTAGAGTTAGTCCCCTTGGAGAAAGTGGCCTAAGTCTCAACGTAGTCAAGTACGATAAACATACTTGTTCCTTGGACAGTGGCATGTCGATTTTGACATTCAAAGATGACTGCCATGCCATGTGGAATATCGTCCTTACATGTGCGAGGAAACCGGAGTACCCGGAACAAAACCCGTGAGGATGGACAGGCGACCTTACTTCTTGTCACTTACAAGCAGGGAATCGTAGCCATGCCACTTGACTCAATGACAGTCCTTACAATACAACGCACACGCGTTAACCATTCGTTCACCCCCTTCCCCACCCCCGCCCCAATATTAAGACGAAGAACCAACAAATCTAACTTTGAATATTATTATGGACTTAACAACTTGGTCACGTTTCATCAATAAGTATACATTCATTCAATATTTATTAAGTTATCTCCATTTAAAGGTGGGCTAGCGTTGAGACATCGGTTACTTCCCCTTAGTTTAAAATTAATCCAGAATATTTTTAACGAAACA